AGCTTCTTCTGAGGACACTAATCACAACATGGCGACCCAAGCTTAGATCCTCATGACACACACTGATGACCTCATGACCCACACTGATGACCTCATAACACACTGATGACCTCATGACATCCCACTTGCTCCTCACAGGCTCTATCTCCACTTAACATCACACTGAAGCAAGGGTTTTATCCAACACAGGAATCTGAGAAAGAAAAACAAAACAAACAAACAAACAAACAAAAAAAAAACCCTTGAGTCCATACTAGGAGACAGTGGAGCTTTAAAGGGGTAGTTGGAGATGGGTCTTTGCTTCTCATCCATCTGTGAAAAGTTAGTTAGACAAGGCACAAACACCAACAAACTTTATGTCCATTGCTTTGGGCAATTTAAAATGAACAAAGCTTAATGACACACAGTAACCCAAGCTTCAACCCACAACAGAGACTGGAGGTGTCCCTGTGACCAAGTACTTCCGTTGTCAGGGCAGATGGGTACCAAATTTTGCTCTAGGATCTTTGGCCAAAAGAGAAAATGCATTTGCTAATGCATTGGCCTCTCCTAGTTCCCATGTGTTAAACCTCATGTTGAGCCCCAGCTTTCAGTCATTCCTGAAGTGCTTGTTCCTTTAGAAATGAGGAAAGTCACTGTTTTCCCCCCAAGAGCTCAACATTTTGTCTCAGTGCATCATCAGCTTTCAAGGGAAGCAAAGCTAGCCATAGTCAAATGCCCCATGGGGAACTTCCCTCCCCAAGCACATTCCAGAGCCCTAATGAGAAAAATAACACATTTTGCAAAATTTGCTATGGAGGATTATTTTTTGTAGATCAAAAGATTTTTCTTGCTTTTTAATAATTCAGGTAACCTTGGAGATCCAGCTGCTTTTCAGATATTGCTTAGCAATGAAGAATCAAAAAGTTGCTGCTTCCCTGGTTTCACTCAGTCATTCTACTAGCCAAGTGCACTTAATCTGTCTCTATGACAGACTGAGAGATGTGAGAAGAGTCCACGGTCACAGCTCAGGTCTGCTGGGGTCCTTTGAGCCTTTATTTGTCCTTGCTTTCCTGGCGTCTTTATTGATTTAACAATCATTTATTGAGTACAGTATAAAGATGTACCAAATACTATACACAGATAAAAGGAGTAGCCTGCGCTCAAGGATGCTGCAGGCTGGAAACAGAGCTTTCCATCCTTTCACAGAATGCTTGCTCTACTTCTGCAGGTGCTTGCCTCTACCTTGCACTAGTTTGGCACATAAAATCAAAACATGGTAAGAAACAAGCGAGTGAGTGAGTAAGGGAGGGAGTGAGTGAGTGAGTGAGTGAGTGAGTGAGTGAGTGAGTGAGTGAGTGAATGACTGGGTGAGAGAATGGGTGAGTTAGTGAGTGAAGCACAAGGTAATTCTTAAACACCTTATGCCATGTCATCATCACTCTTCCTGGGATTGCCATTGTCTATAACACAAGCTCAAGTGGTCCGTTTTTATATGATAAAGGCTCTTAGCCTCTTATCCTCAGGAAACTCTCATGCATTGTCTGTGATCCAACTTTCTCATTCTTCTCTGGAACTCGTTCAGAGCCTACTTCTGAATAATATTATCCTATACCAGAAACTCAGCAGGGAATCTACTGAGTCCATCATATATGGCTAACTGGGCAAACCAAGATGATGGGGAACACAGGGCTTCACACTTACCTTCATGCAACAAGGTCATGCTTTTTGGGGTTCACTCTACTACAGAATAGTCAATGGGCATCATGGTGCTTCCTAGGAGTTACACATTGCAAAGGCTGCCCACCTCTCTGAAGTATTAGAACACCATTATGTTTCAGGTGGGGGTTTTCTCCCCTCCCATCCCTTAGCTCCCAGAATAATGATTCATGAGACTTATTAAATATTATACAAATATCTAGGCCATATAGCTAGGCTCTTCTCTGACTAACTCATAACTTAAAATGCCCTATTATACTAATTTACATTCTTCCAGGGGGCTGGTTACCTGAGCTCAGGCACCATGCACCCATCTTCTTCACAACTTGGTGGGCTCAATCTCACACATCTGGCTCTATCCCAGAATCCCTTCTACCTGCCAGAAGCCCCACCTATTTCTTGCCTCAGCCATAGGCCATAAGTTTTTTGATTGACAGGTGTTGCATCCATACAATACACAAGAGAGTCCTTCTACAGACCTCTCTCTCACTCATCATTCTCTGCTAGCCCCTACTCCATAATTTTTAATCAACACAGATGTTCAGGGCACAGGGTCTACTTCAGGGCCCATGAATTCCAATGCTACACCAAATGTCTGAATGGCATCTGTGTTCACCCTCACTGTTGATCCCCACTCTCACTTAAACAAGGACGGAAACATCAGCTCAAACAACACATTTTAAAAATCAAATAAGTAGTTCCAGGCCTGGTGGCAAAGGCATGTAATCCCTCATACATGAGAGGCCAAGGCAGGAAAACCACAAAGTTCAAGGCAAGCATAGGCAACTTACTGAGGCTGCCCCATCTCAAAATAAAGGTTAAAAGAAGGCTAGGAGCTCCTACCTGGTATGAATGACGCCTTGGGTTTCATCCTCAATGCCATGAAAAATAGCATCTGAATAGCAAGTCAAAGTTTAAAAGACTCCAATGTATGTTTAGTGAATATCCGTGACAAACGTGAGACTTGGGTAGATTAATAACCGGACCATCAGTTGTACAGTAGAGCTACTATTCATGCCCCATGTCGTCTTGTCTTGGTAAAATCGGCACAGCCTATCCAGAAGGAGATGGATGGTTCCATTTGGATTGAGTTCTAATGTATACACACTACACACACACACACACACACACACACACACACACCTAGAAATTTAGCCTTTAATGGTTTGCTCTAATGGCAATATAAAAGAAGTTACCACCTTTTAAGAACATTAAAAGAATGTTCTTAACACAACTCTTGATTTGTGTTTGACTTAAATAACCCTGTTTTGTCATTGTTTATTTCTCAGCACACTGAGAAACCTGGTAGACATTCCCTGGGCCTTGCTCGTACCCTTAGAGCCGTGACCACAGTGGCATCCCTAAGACATTGTTGGCATGCTATCGCTTAGACCTCTAGAAATCAAGTTGACCAGGTTTTCCTTGCTCTTATGTCAGTCATTAAAAAGCTTTTCCACAGATTTTCATGGGCCTGTGCATATGACAAGACATGACATGACACCATGTCCTCCCACCCTGGCTCAGGAGAGGCTGCAGCCCACAAGCAAAAAGGAGCCCCAAAGCCTGCTTTTAGAGAACTCTGCCATGCCTGATTCTGCCTTGATAACTTACCTTCTTAGGGAGATGATAGTGGTGGACTCAAAGTTTCGGGGGGGATGGAGGGGGGATGGAGAGATGGCTCAGCCATTAAAGGCTAGGCTCGCAACCAAATTTGCAAAGAGAGACTTGGGTTATGTAAAATCATAATATCTTCAGGCCCTGATCCCTTCATCCATAAAATGAAGGAAATAATCAGCTAATGAAAATTAATAGAATATCATCAAGGGCTTTCAGATCTGTATATATACTTACAAGATGTGACAGCAAAGCTAGTCACTGAACAATAATTTCTTCCCCGGTCATCTACTGGCCTCACCAGACACTCATCTTAAAGAAGCCAACCTTCCCATTTGCAGACTGGCTTACAAATCTTGCCAGCCATTTTCCTCTCAGCATAAACAGGCCGTGCTCATAGGCATCTCCAACTACACTGCTTCTTTACTGTCAAGTGATTTGTAGTCAGAGCGAGCCAGAGATCCTCCTCTACCCCCACTTCCTGGGGCATCATGGGAGTGAAAGAGCTATACTAAAACTATGGGTGGTTCCTACAGTCACTCCCCTGTATCTTCTGATACCCCAAGTACCTGTGGGTGGCTGCAGATCTTGACAAGCCAACCAGTGTCAACTTCTTCCCTTCTTCTTCCTTTCCCTTTTCATTATCACTTTTCAGAAAGTTGATGAAGTGAAATACTCTCTGGCAAAGAAAATAATATAAGTTTAAAAGTCATTTCTAATGCAATGGTGGAATAATTTCACTACTTTCTTTCAGTAAACAAATAATAATAATGATGATGATGATGATAATAATAATAATAATGCAGCATGAGGCCCCCTCTGGGGGGATTTCATCATTGATAGATTAGAGGGAAAGGCAATGGCTTCAGATGAACAGGTTTTCCTTTTAGCTGGTTAGAGCACTTTGGGATGAAGAGACGAGAAAGACAGGTGCTAGACAATAGAATAAACCTAGCAGCAGCTCATTTGCATAATTTTGTATAAAAGTGCACTGATGTAGGAAGCATAAAGTGACTGCACTGAATATTGAAAATGAAGAATCTTGGAAAACAATCTCTGTTGACTACCCAGTTCTGAAATAGCTGAGCGTTTTATGGAATACCTTTTCCTCCTTTGTGGAAATGACTGGTGTTTTAAGCTCTCCCCAACCCCACTCCCATGCCATGTGGTATGGCATAGTGTGGGGTGGGGTAGGGTGGGGTGGTGTGTGTGTGTGTGTGTGTGTGTGTGTGTGTAAAGTCCTGTACAAGTTTTAGAAAACACACTTTTATACTATTATGCTATATATATATATATATATATATATATATATATATATATATATATATAATGTTTACACTATTATACTTTTATACTATTGTTCTAGGTAATTCCTCAAAGTGTGTTCTCTAAAGAGACTAACCATGGGGTGGGGGCTGGAGGGAGCAGAGGTATGCTCCCATTGCCCTCTGACAGTAGCCCCTTTGCCATTCTTACGTGATGAAAGGCTGTCTGGAGGGCCACAACAGCGTGTAGAGCAAAGATTACAAACAGCAATTTTTGCGGGCCCAAATTGCTTCCCAAATGAGGGAGCGAGAGATTTAAAGGTGGACATAACTATCTGTCTGAGCAGTGTGCAAAGGTTTCTGCTGTGTGAGAAATGAAAGTCTGGCTTCCCTTTGACAAGCATTCCTTAACAGGCCCACCAGATATCTGAAGCCCATCTTAACGCATTCAGGTCCTCCACTGACCACCACATTACCGGCATGGTGTGGCCCCGTCTCTAGGCTGCTCACCAGTCCTCAGGCCTATGGGGTGAGTCAAGAATCATTCAGTCAAGCCTGGTGGGTACTGTTGAGCTAAAAATCTGGGGGATCTCACTTCCCAGCTTGAAGGGAAGGCAGTTTTTAAATTCCTGCACCAAGAAGCGTTTCTCTTCTTCTCTGCCTCTTGTTGCTGATGTTGGCTTCTTCTTTAAAAAAAGAAAAAAAAAATACATTTTTTTTTATTGTTGCCAATATCTTTAACCATAAAATGGACTTAGAAAATATAAAAGTGATGTGTCCTCACAAACTGCTGTGTTTTGAAGTTTTGGATATTAGGTCTGTGCTTTATAGCTCAGGGGAGTAGAATAAAAAAAAAATACTAAGAAGCAATTAGAGCCATTACCAGCAAATCAGAGTGTCAGGCAACTGGGGAAGAACAGAGTGTGGGAGCCGAAAGTGGCCTAAGGAGCCGGCAGCCAACATTCCCCTGCAGAAGGAGACACTTCCCTCTGATCCGCTCAGCAGCTGGGGGCTTCCCAGAGGAACGTGACAGAAATAATCCTCACACAACAGATCTGTTTTAAATAGCTCTCAGATGTTCCTAGAGTAGGCTAAAGGTGGGAACCCTGTCCTGAGGTGACCCAGCCAGCCCTCACTGTGCCGTGACTTGGTGAAATCCTCCCTAACCAATGGAGGTAGTCCTGAGATGCCATTCACTCTGGCAGAACCTCTGGATGGGGTGACCATTACCGGCCAGATCTATTCGTTTCTGATGTTATCTGGTCCACCAGAGTCGATGCCAGTCACTTCTAGTCTGTGACAATTCTCTCAAGAAATGTGCTGAAAACCCATTTACAGTAAATTACAACCTATTTGGCTCTAAGGGTTTTCAGGAAAGCAGGTGCCTAAGGACACAGGATTTGGCTTAAGTCTTGAATCTGGTCAACCTCCCTGGGTGCTAGTGAAGAGAATCCACCACACCCCATTCTTCCTCCCTCAGCCCAAGGTCATGGGTCATGACCCTCTTCCGGCCTTGGGCTGGGAGACTCTTTGAGGCTGTGCAGTAAACCAAGTTTTCAATGCTGACTCAGCAGATTCTGTGCCATGCGCAAGCACAGATGAACCATAGTAAAATTGGTCATTAATTCAAAGAAAAGGGAATCTCCCATCCCGGGGAGATGGCTTAGTCAGTAAAGTATTTACTGTGCAAACATGAAACCCTGAGTTCTATCCCCAGCACCTGGCATGCCCCTGTAATCTCAGCCTGTAGAGACAGAGGGATGTCTAGAGCTCACTGGCCAGCTAGTTTGACCAAACTGGTGAGCCCTAGGGGGTAGTGAGAGAACCTGTCTCGAGAAAGGAAGAGGGGAAAAAGAGAGAGAGAAAGTGGAAAGCCATTAAAAACAGCTGCTGTCCACCTCCTGCCCCCACCTGCCCGCATGTACGTGTGCCTCACGCACGCAGCCCTCTTATTTTTCTTACACAGTGGGGATGCTACTGTTTTCTGCCTTCATCATGGCGTGACCCGTCTCTCTGTCTTAACTAAGCAGGAGCAAGTGAAAGACGATGATGTGGAATGTATTGTAAACCAAGATGAACTCGCCATGAACTACCAGGAGCAAAGCCCCTCGCCCAGCAGTCCTGCCACTAAGCTCGCTCTGGACCAGAAGTCTTCACTCCAGACCCCAGGCAAGGAAAACATCTATGAGGGAGACCTCGGCCTGGGAGGCTATGGACTCAAACTTGAGCAGACTCGGGGTCAACCCCAGATGGACTAATTGGTACAATGAGTGCAGATGTAGTCACTGGGTAATGCAAAACCACTGAGGAATGCCAACAGCCAAGGAGGTGGTGCAGAGAGAGAGACGCACAAAGGGTATTAAGAACAGAAATTGGACTGAATCAAAACCTTGTCACTTGTATCCTCCCGTGCCTTCAGAAATGAGAATTCATTACCTTCCCTCCATATTATGCAACCTCATTTAATTATCTGACAGCCATTTTTTACTGCTGGATTGGGGGCCAGGGGAATCAGGTCTAGCTGCTATTGGGATGAACCATATGCGCTGGGCCTGCAGGGGGCTCCTCCTGTTCCTCAGACAGCTCCCCAGGCCCTTCGTGTGGATTTTGGATTCTCTTCCATTAATTATGGAACATTAATAACATGGAAAAAATACTCCTGAGCATAAGCGATAAGGCTTATCTCTTAGGACTTGACTTGTTCTACTTGACTGTAGGGCTGGCTACATACAGAGCCCAGTGAGTGTGCAGTGCCCACTATTGATGGCCTCAGAGAAATCAGGAGTCGGGAGCCCTGTTGTCCTTGCTGGCACTCTCCCCATACTGTTCCTCCCCCTCCTCCAAGGTGTGTCTGTGTTAAGTGGAGGGCCTCTAGCCAGTTTAAGGGGACTCTTTCGGGGGGGGGAAAGCTGGTTTCTTTCCCACATTCTCCGTTTCACTCAAATGCTGAGCCTCCTTTCCTTGTGTGCACAGGAACAACTTCCTGACACAGATTCCCTCTGCATGCTGGGAAGTCATATTTTGCAGCATGCCCTTTCCACATGGAGGAGATTGTGCAAGAGCCCTGACCTTTTCCAATTCCAATATTTGGTGACTGATTGGCAACAGAGAAGCCAGAAGAGTAGGGATGGTGGCATTTAGGCCACACTGAGGCACCAAGGACAAGCACCAATCAGGACCCACCCCCTTCCCAGCGTGGCTCATGACTGCATTGAAAAAACCAACACAATAGCTTTTAATTCAGCTGCATGACCTGTGCCTTTGAAGCCATAAGATACCTCAAGCCTAGTTTCTCTTGAAATGCAGATGTTACTGTTAGGCTCCAAAGAACAGGCTTCACACTTGGGAGCCTAAGACAGGAAGGATTTGCTTTTGAGGGTGACAGAGAATGGGTTCTTTCTCAGGCCCAAAGCCTAAAACAAATGCATGCTTCGCTGAGCACTTCTTAGGCCTTAGACTTGTGGTGTCAGGTATACTGCTCTGCATGTCAGTTTTCTTGCTTCCAAATACTGCGGGGAACTTTTATATTCGACTAAGTAAAACCTTGTCATTTCAGGTAAATATGGCAAGTAGAGGAGTTTTCTAATTTGACCTCATCCTAATAAAGTTTTGTTATGGTGTATGATTGTGTTGGCTGTAGTTTTATTTCAAGCCATCTCCCCTGACCAAGCTAATTGAGAGCTCAACAGTCTTGTCTTTAGAGATCTGGCTACAGCAGGTACCAGATGCGATGCATGGGTCCTCAGACTCGTGAACAGCCAAAGGAGCTGGAGCAGCAAGCCATTGAAGGAATAAAGAAATCTGGGAGGATGTCCCAGAGGAGGGAAACTGAGTCAAGCAAAGTATCGCACCCTCCTTTCATCTCCCCAGAGGTAAGCAGAACTTATGAAGAGCTAAAAAAAAAAAAAAAAGGAGATACTAAAGAAGGAAGGAAAATAGGTCAGAAGATGAGGGTTCATCTTATTTATGCCCACTTCAAGTGGAAGGAAGAGGTGTTTGCTTTGTTAAAACACACACACACACACACACACACACACACACACACCCCAGAGAAAGAAAAGAGGCTTCAAAATAGTCAAACAATAATGGAAACAGAGCAAGTAGAAGGAAGAGGAATCTGACCTACCAACCAGACGAAATAAAGTAAGGTGAGGAAGGAGCTGACTAAAGCCAGCACCAAGTCATGAAGAATGAGTTAGAATAAACCTAGGCTCTGCCTCCCAGATGGCTTTTTGCTTAGAGACAAACTCTCCTTCAAACCTACTGTCATGAATTACTGCTGACAAGGACAGTTGGGGATACCCCTTACCAGGCTGATCCCAGGAGTAGGATCCCAATTATGGCCCATCTGATATAAATATAAGACAGTGTCTCCATCTTGCTATATGACTCCACCAGCCTTCCTCCCTCTGAATCAGTCCAAGACCCTAGCAGAGGCTAGTGCACAGTTAGCGATTCATAAAGACAAGCCCTGTTATGCCACTGCTGTGAAGGATAATGAATTATGATCTTAAGCAGTGCCCCTTGCTTTGATTAGCAGCCTCATGACTGTGAAATTCAAACCTATTATTTACTGCCAGTTTCTAATGAATAATAAAGGCACAAGTGCTTTTATTCAAGCTACTAATATTTTCATTCATTCTTAGAGCTTGAAATGGGGTTCTCATTAATTAGAGGGCTGGATCTTCCTTGAACTTTTTAACATGGATGAGTACATCACACACATGTACATTTACACACATAGAGTTTGACTCACTACCAGAGCCTTTTTGGTTCTTCCCATAATTCTTGGATATGTCTGAGCAGGTCTGAAACCTAGTATCAAATGCTATTATGGTCTTTATTCATCATGAATTTTTTCAAAATTTCTTAGAGATCAATCTAAGAATATAAGTCAAAGCTGCAATTTCCTTTAATATCATGCACAGAGCTATTTTTTACAATGAAACTCAGAATTAAGGAAATTTTTCAATGCAGTCACATTTTGGAAATGGTACAAAGACACCCAGTGGATCCCAAGTTCAACTCGGAATCCTGAAATGAGGATATAGTTTAGAGAGAAGTAAAGAAACGTGAACAACCAAGCTGTCTGGCCAAGGTGTAGTCCTGCTGAGCGTTGACTCTGCTCTAGGCCCTCCTGCAGGGCTGTCCCACAAGTTATAAATCTGTCTCCAAGAGAGAGATTAGATTCCCTTTCTGGTAGACAAGTTCCTCCTCTGATTGTCACCAGCGCTCCCAGATTTTCTTCTCCCAGCAGGAGGTCCCTGGGGAAACTAATTTGTTGGTGTCCATTGTTTGAATAATATAATAGCCAAAGAGAAGGACGTAAGTGTCTCTTTAGAATGTGTTCGTTTCTGCCAGCCGGTTACATTTCCCCACTCTTTGCGTTTGTTGTTTGTTTCTGTTTGTGTTTTGTTTTTGAGGCAGGGTCTTTCTACTAAGCCCTGGTTGTCCTAGACCAAGCTGTCCCTGAACTCACAGAGATCTACCACTCTCTGTTTTAACAACTCAATGAAGTATAAGTGTGTCTAAAACAAATATAAGCAGAATACAAGAGGAAGCCAAGGTTAGAACTCATCCAGTTAGTATCTGGTACACAAGGGCCATTTCTGCATAGCTTCTTAGCTTTGGTTACTTTTGGAAGAGCTGGCATAAGGAACTCCATCTTGTTGGTTTGAGACAAAATGTCACTATGAAGCTCAGACTTGCCTCAAACTTACATTATCTTCAACTTCCCAAGTGCTGCAAATACAAGCAAGCACTACCATGACCACTATGCCTTCATTTTGTTTGTGACAATTCCCCCTCCCTTGTCTATGAACAATATTCCCTGAAGATATCACTGATTAACCATCAGGTTTGTTCTCTCTTGTGTCTCATTGCCAAGATAAAACTTACAGTTGGTTGGTGGATTTGAGCCCACATTGGAAAGGTAAGTGGCAGGTGTCAAGGAGCTGTTGCCATGAACCTTTTATGGCCAGTTTTAAGCAACTAAGAAGTCTAGAAGGAATGGCTCCTATGTCAAGCATTTCTAGAGACCATTCTGCTTCTTCTGTGGGTAGCATAGAAACATCTCAAAAATACTGTTCAGGCTCCTCTGTCAGAAGCCATACTTCTGAAGAATATTCACAGATGAGCATTGCATAAAGCTAAACAAACATGAAGTTATCAAGGGCAAACACTGTTGAAGAATGCTAACATACAGTAGTTACAAAGCTTCACAAAAGACAACCAACTGGAGTAGGACTGATTTCAAACTTGTATGCAAATGTCCAATGCCTATTTATTCATAGAAGTCTTTAACAATATAAGAAGCATGTATACATATATAAAAAAAAACAGAACAGCCATTATTGAACTATATAGAACCCATATATATACACTAATTTATATATAATATCTATTATGTATAACTATATTAATTTAGCTTCTGCTTTCAAAACAAAAGTTAGACTCTTTGGTTCAGTAAGATATAACCACAGGATTGATAATCAAAATTTTTGACCTCTTACATAGTCAAGGGACTGCTTCAATTACTACGAAAGATTGTATACAAGTAGACTCCATATGTACAGACACACAACTAAGCAAAAAGATATAGACCAGAGTTTCAAATCACAAAATTGTTCAAATGTTAAATTTGACTTTACTGAAGACTGCAATTTTTATTCTATGTATGTGAGAAATTACACATATTGAAAACAATTATTGAAACAACTTGATTGCCATCCTGACTAATAAATCATGGTACAACCATTTCATAAAGGAAAGTCTGACATGCTGATATAGACTGAGTTCCAAGACACAGTGTTAGAGTAACAAGGTTCAGCCAGAATGCATGCTGGGCTACCGTGAAGAGGACGATAGAGGTGGTTGGCTGCTAGGAACTGGAAGGAGTCACTTTTCGCTTTTGTCCCTTTTGAAGTATGCATACTGTCGACTTTGAATTATTCACTCAAAACAAAATAATAATTATGACTCTTATGAAATGATTCAAGGCAGAAAGCTAAGCCACAGTGGGAAATGGAGCACAAAGCTAGAAATGCTGTCATTTTCACCACCATCGTTGGGAGAATGTAAGCGTATGAGATACAGGCTGGGTGGTGATGGTGCACAGGTTTAACCCCAGCACTCTGGAGACACAGGCAGGCAGGTGAGGCCAGGACAGGCAGGGCTACACCCTGAGAAACAGAACAACCTCCCCTGCGAAGAAGAGTATGAGGTACAGCACCCAGAGCACCAAGCACCAACTCATTCAGCACTCAGACATGCCACTCTGCAAAAGCTCTTTGACTCATTGGCTACTGACTGAAAGTGTCCCCACTTCTCCAGTAATTAGCATTTTTTAAAGAAGTGGTTGCATAGGTGGAAACGTACAGGAGAAAGAAACTATAACTAGAACAGTATGCTGCTGACCCAGAAACAAGCAACAGGATCAGGAGAATCCAGCACAAGGTCCAGAAACAGACCTGTGACTATATTTAGAAACCTAGTTTATAAAACGTGGCATTTCAATTTGGGCTGGGGTTAAGTGGACTGATTGGTTTTTCAATTTAGAAAATGAAAGAAAGTTGAATGCTAACCTCCGATGCATGTCAAACAAAATTCCAAGTGACTGGAGTAATGTAAGAAGCAAAACAACAGGAAATTTAAAAGTAAATAAAACCTCAGAACATGCAGTGACCTTCCCATGTAGTCTTCCTGAGACAGAAACTAAAAGCAAATAACATTATGACTTAAAAATTTGAAACTTCCTAGATTAAAATATACAATAAAACCAAATTTGAAACCAAGAAACAACCTGGGAGAAAAATATAGACGTGCATATTATATTATATATGTACATATTGAGGATTATTCTCCAGAATATACAAATAATTCTTAACAATACATCAGAAAAATTCAAAAGGCTACCAGAATTTCTACTATTCAGAATTTCTATTTTTAGATAACTATACAGAAAACAAATAATTGACATTTATGCAGAAGGAAATGGGCAGAGTAACCCTTAGTGTGGCTGTCTGTTGCTGTCTGTTGCTGCGGTGTTGAAGGAAATCACAAAATACCCACAAATAGCAGAAGGGTTGTCTAAACTACCCCCATTGTGGGGAACACTGCAGCAATCGCACGCTGCAGCAATTAGCCCATCTACGTGCGCTCAGATGGAAATATTTCTAAAATATGATTGTTGGGGTTTAAATATGAAATATCCCCAGAAGAGCCTGTGTTGAGTGAAGCCTTGTAACCAGCTGGTGGTTCTCTTTTGAGAGGGAAGAAAATGTTAACAGGTAGGAAATAGTCTCTGAAGATATGCCCTTGTTCTTTCTCTCTCTCTCTTCCCCCTCCCTCCTTTCTTTCTTCCCTTCCTTCCCCTGTCTTTCTCCCTCTCCATGCTCTCTTCCTCACAGGTAGGTAGTGAATAAATTTACCCTCCATACCCTTGGATCTTGATGCTTGGCCTCCTCAAGGCCCAGCAACAATGGAGCCACTCACCCTTACTCTGAAATCACGAAAGCCAGAAGCCAAAATAAATTTTTCCTCTTTTTAGACTGCTCCTTCTCAGGTATTGAGCACAGTGACAATAAAGCCTGAATAACACAATATTGCATGTGAAAAGGAGTC